CTTAAAATTTTTATTCGCTGAAGTGCTAACCTCGTTTCTAAAACCAAATGTTGATTTTCCTGTGTATTTTTCTTGTTGCCATTGTTTCTTCTTTCTGTTTCCTTTATCTTCTGCAGTAATGATGTGTGAGCACATGCAATCTACATTTGATCAACTAGCTAACTTTTGAAGCATGGGTTGGTTGCTAATTTCTCTAATTCTGGATGGATTCTTTTCCTATGAGTTGCAGGTTGACGAACACAGGGTAGTCTCTGTCCCATACCAGTCAGTAAAGGTACTTTCACGACTGGTGTTTGTTGAAAAAAAAGAAAAAGAAGTTTGACTATTGAATTTAAGGGTCTAAATAGTAACTACTTTTCATGGTTCTAAGTCAGCTTTCTTTTGTTGACGAAGAGAATTACAACATCTTTAACAAGCAAAAAACAACTTGACTGCTTTGTTTCTACTCAAATTCAGTTCAACATTGACTGCGTTGTGAAACACAACATGTCTACTAGAGATTGTAAGTAAATTTGAAGTCGAAACTTGAAGGGGTTGGTTGTCAATTGAGGGAGTGAGAAGAGATAAAGACAAGTAATAATTGATAAGCTTTTTTTTTTTAAACCAGAAACGGAGCTCTTCATTAAATAAATGAAACAAGACTAACGTTCAAAAGATACAAACTCCATGAGGGAGTTGAAAAATAAACAGAGGAGAGATATAAAAAGTAATATTTGAGTTGTTTAGGCTTGTGTTTACTAGAAGGAAGGTTCAAGTTTTTCCAACTACCTGGGTATCTTGTTCTTCTAGTTCTAACTTCTTGCAGTTTCTTTCTGTATTTTCTTATTCACTATTAATGTAATTCTCTAGTTTATATTTTAAATTGTGTCTGATTTTTATTGCTTTCTAACAGATTGATATAGATATTAATCCTCATTTGCCCTCTGAGTACATTAATTATTTGGAGAATCCCATGAAAATAATTAATGGAGCTGAAAAGGCGGCTGAGACAGACATCTGGGCTTTAATGCAATTTACTGAAAATTTGCGCCGTCATCATGGAAAAGAGCCTTACTCCATGGAGATTCTGCTGAAGAAGCTTTATGTGAGGAGAATGGCAGCGGATCTAGGAATTTATCGGATATATGCTTCAGGAAAGACCGTTTGCATGGAAACTAAAATGAATAAGAAAGTTTTCAAGTTGATATCTGAATCAATGGTATCAGAGGTGCATCGAAATTGTTTGACTTTTGAGGAACATCAGATCAAGGTGAGCATATAGAATATCTTGCTGTTCATTTCTTGATTTGTTAAAGTTTATTATTCTTGATCTTGATCTTGGTCTTGATCTCTAGCCTTTTCTCCACCTGCTGTGAAATGCTTAAACATATGAAATGGAAAAAGTAAAAGGAAATTCTATATGGAAAAATATGAAAATTCTTGTTACTTTTTAGTCTACTTGTAACTTTTTCTTCGGAAGAATCAAAGAGAAAAAGAACAATGATCGGTCTTAGAGTTGACAAGGGCCTGAATCACTAAAATGGCTAAACACAGAAGCAAAATGAACCAAAAGTCCTACCAAACACCCCAGTTATAACTTAGACCAAAAATATCACGTGACCGAAGTACAACCGTAGGCAAAAGGGAGGCATTGAAATCTGCAGGGTATGATTATGAATGTACTTATGGAGAAAAAAGAACTGAGGGTAGCATAGGAATGTAGGGAAGGAAAGTTCTTTTTTTATTGATTCAGTTTGATGAGAGAGCACATTTGCTGCATAATGGAATGTGAATTCTGTTTAGATCTTTGCTTTCAGGGGAGTGTGTTGAACGCTTAAATCCTTCTGCAAGGTATCTTCCCTTAATTGGAAACTACCTGGATTCCGTCCTTTTTCCTTTGTCCTATACATCATATGAAGTAAAGTAAGCATCATTGTGTCAGCCATACCTTCTTTTTTGTGATACATTGTGTCAGCCATACTAAATAATCTATGCGCACAAAACTGAAAACATTTGAACAATGCTGTTATTGCTGCGTAAGACTACATCTGCATTCTGTTTCTAACCTATACAATTCAAATTGGCATCTTACTGTTTTTCTTCTCTTTGTCTGTCCCCATTGCCTTTCACCTTTGGCAGGCTGGGCTTCTCTTAGAGCTACCAAGAGAACAACTGCTAAATTGGATCTTTGAGTGCTTGGTGGAACTTCATGCTTCCCTCCCAGCCTTGATCAAATACTAGTTCTTACCACAGCAGGTTTCACAATGATTTTCTTAATCACAAGGCTGCTTCATGCATATAACGTCCATTAACCAGCCTTGTTATTTCAAAAGCCTGAAATTTAGACTTGGCCTCCGAGGTCTCTGAACACGAAGCTTTTGACATGGAAAATCTCAAATCTTTGTGCATCAATCACGTCCTTATATGCAATACCAAGCAAAAGTATATTACATTTTGTTAGTAAGTTGGAACAAGCTGATGGATATAACTTTCGAGCATTGTTTCAAGGTAAGCCTGGGATAACTGAAAACTGTTGTTCTTTTCCCTCAACTAGCCTCTTCTTTCAACGGTTTTTCTTATTGCAGGATACAAGCTGGAGTTATCTTTCCAGAATATATAGCAGTGCCTGAGATCTGCTGGTGTATACGACGTTATCGAACTCCAAGAAGGCTACGACATCACTCAGGTTACAATTGTTCTGCCCCTCATTGTCTGTATATCATATTCGTTAAATCTAGTTATCAAGTTTGATGAAAAGCACAGTTCTGTTTTATTCTGATCTTTAATTTACATGAGAAGAGGGTATGTTGTAAAGAAATTCTATGTTAATAACTACAAAAAATTTAGGGAAGGGTTGAAGTAGGAACCAACAAGCAGAGTTATTGAGCATTTCAGAAGAAAATTGTGAGAAAAATGTTTTATATTATTATATCCACTTTTGATACCCTTTATTCCAGACTGCTGTTTGCGTTTTATTCCATGCTCTATTTTTTTGATACTAAATTTCTAAAATTAAGCTTCCTTTACCATAAACTTGATGTTCTTATATGTTCTTGAGAAATCTGAATCCTTAGATCTTGATATACCAACAACTTGAGTTTTCCTCATATTATTTACCCCTCAAATCCAATATGATCTCTCAGCATGCATGTCTGATGCCACTTAGATATATGTCAACACCTGTGTATCTACCGTTGTTCTAAGATAACAATCTTAACCATAATAAAAAGATGAACTTTTGATCTAGAAGTCTAAGATTGTATGTCTCAACAAGTTGAACTATACTCGTATTGACAAAATTTTCCTATGATATTTTAGAAATAAAAATTGATCTTGTTTTCTTAAGGTTCTGTTTTGATCCCATAGAAACGGACCTCAAATGGTTAGGTTTTTACCCAAAATTATGAGAAGTTTTGGGTTACCTATCACTTTCTTTTAAATTAAAAAAAAAATTAAGTTCCTTAAGCTGAATTTTAAGAGGTTTTGCCAATTTTAAAGAAGCTTCATAAAGCTGGAAAACAAGCACAGGTTTGGAGCCAAGACAATAATCAAATGAACTGTTCACCAAAAGAAAAGGAAAAAGTTGATGATCAAATTACATTAGTGCAGCCATTAATGTCCATTTCCAAGCCCCCTCATACTCCTCCTGCATTGTTTAGCAAGAAGAGATTAGCTCAGATAAAGCATGATGATCATCAACAGATTATCCACTCTCTTAAACCAGCAGCTTCATTTGTTTGTGTTATTATTGCATGTTTGAACCTTGCTATGCAGTGGCTGTGCCTGCCCTCATGGCCGCCCTTCCTGGCCACCGAGGGCAGCTTGGACCTGCTGGGCTTCGTTGGCCGCATGGTTGTTGAACTGAAGATGCACGTGAGGGGTTAGGTCTGTGGGCCTTGGTGCTTCTGGACCGCACGCGTAGTTGGGTCGACCGAGTTCGTGTGGTGGGCCTGTTGGTGAGGAACTGGGTCTGAAGTTGGGCCGAGACATGCGTGGGCTTCGCGCCTGGTAGATTGTGGGCCGGTGGGCTCGCTGCCCTGGGATACTGGATCGGTCTACACGTCGGGTTCGGGTTGACCCAACTCTATGGCTCGTGGACCTCTTTTTCCCTGCAGAAGTTGCAACAAGGGGTTGAGCTTTAGAAGAATTTAGGAGGAGACAAAGCTCAAGTTCAATGAAAACGAACACAAAAGAGGGAAGAATCCTCACGATCTGTGACAACAATTTACGATTTTTCAATAAAGAACTAATTCCGTTTAATGCTTGAAAACCAAAATAAAATGAGGGAGAAGATTGGGAGAGTGTTTCTAAAGAGAATGGGAGAAATGGTTGACGCGAGTGTATTATTAGAATTACGTGAATTCCAGCGACTTGCCTAAATACTCACAATTGAGTGACGACCAACTTATTATTATTTTTATCAAATCTAGTCCTCGCTAAGCTCGAAATACAACTGACTTTTAACTCAATATATAATCTACAATTAAGCTAGAAGGCACTACTTAAATCACACTAAAGTGATCAAACCACGAAAAAAGAAGCCCAAAATTACAATTTAATCAAACCATTAAATTTCAAATCACATTTTGAACCCATAGCAGATTTAAAGCAAACAATAAGAGCTCCAAACCAAACATCAATCACATAAATATTCTCCAAATTACACTTTGAACACAATTATTAAATGGACAGATGTTTGAATTTTTAACCTCTTCTTTATGATATAATGTTTTTAAAATGTTTAAATCACGTACTTCAACCCCTTTATTGAGATTAGTAAAATTATTTGATTTGGCTTGGATAGAAATTATGTTCAACATTTAGGGATAGATACTTTTGGAATTTGTTTAAGATTTGATTAATATTCTCCCACTTGCTCTACAGAAGTCGAGACATGATCCTAAAATTCTTTAGCTATGAGAGTCTTTGTAATTCAATCACCATACTTGTCCTTAAAAACTATCTTCATTACTCCCAAAATTCTTACCCCATCATCACTATTATAGCATAAACTCATTAAGGTAAAGTTCATGTCTACTCTTTACCTTTTAAAAATCAGGAATATTTGCTACAATGTAACTAGCAGATTTTCAAACATATTTATTTGAAGAATGTAGGCTCATCCCCAATAAAATAATCATAATAATCATTCATACCAGGGCAGACAAAATGGAAGCTCATGGTTTGAGCTAAAGCTTGGACTTGGGAGCTTGAGGTTCTCTAGACCATGAAGGAGGAATGATTCTGTAATCTTGTGTTGGCTCTTCAGCCTTCTGCTTTTCCCTTTCCTCTTCCTCTTCTTCTTCTTCTTCATCCAATACATCCTTTGAGAATGCATTAGGGTTTGCTTTTATGCAGCTCTGCAAAGCCACAAAAGGATGCACGCAGTCCGATCCCTTTGAAAAAATCAATCACAATTTAGCTGTTAGTATGTGCCACAATTTTCTTTGAAGATACCAAACAAACTTTCAATCCCATGACTGTTTCACTTTAATTCTTATACTTTTACTAATACAGATTTCCCATCTATTTCATTAAAGCTTAATTCCCTTTCCTTTCGGGCTTCCCCTCAAGGTTTTTAAAACGCGTCTGTTAGGGAGGAGAACGGAACACCATGCTATAAGAATGTTCCGTTCTCCTCCCCAACCGATATGGGAGCTCACAATTCACCCCCCTTCAAGGTCCAGCATTCTCACTGGCCCTCGTTTCTTTCTCCGATCGATGTGGGACCCCACCAAATCCCTCCTCCCCCCTTCTAGACCCAGGGTCCTTACTAGCACACTGCCTCGTGTCTACCCACCTTCGGGGAACAACCTCCTCACTGGCACATCGCCCAGTGTTGGCTCTTATACCATTTGTAATGGCCCAAGCCCACCGTTAGCAGATATTGTCACTTTAGGCTTCCCCTCAAAGTTTTTAAAACACGTTTGCTAGAGAGAGGTTTTCATACCCTTAAAAAAGTGTTTCGTTCTCCTCCCCAATCGATGTGGGATCTCATAGTTACATTCCTCTTTAGTAAAAAAGCAAAATAAACCTAATGTAGTAAATTATAAAAATAATAAATAAAATTTAAAGGAAAAAGTAATAGAAATCTAAGGAGCACATTAGTTGCAGAGTTAGACAAGATTAGTTATAGCCCCTTGTTTCTACTTTTCAACCAAAAACATAATAACTTAAATGTACAAACTATTTGCTTTTTTGAATTCCAATTATCTCTCACTACCGTCAAAGACATTTGGTAAGTTCTAATGCAAAAGTATGAACCACAATGAAACTTTAAACGTATAGAGAACAAATTGACTCAACAATTAAGGGATAACGATTGAAAATGTAACTTCAAAGTTAGTGGATGGGGTGGTTCCATCTTTTTCCTTACCTTTTCCTCTGCAGTACTCTTGAAGAAGCAAAGAAAAGCATCAGAAAATTGGACCCCACATGGACCTTTACGCAAGTCAGCTATGCAGGGGCACTCTAACGCTCTGTTAGCTTTGGCCTCAAGAGACTGAAAGAAGCATAGGTCAACTTCTTTGTTGGCAATTCCAACTTCAAAAGAAAACTTAGATCTTTAGAGTGGACAAACCTCATTTGCTTCATTGCCATAAGCTGCAGCTTCTGCACGAATGACAACAATGTTGTTGATTATCAAACATGTTCTCAAATCTAACACCAAACGAAAAGAGTACAACAAGAATTGCAAATAATATTTCATTTTATCTTTATTTAAACCTAATAAACTTAAAACAAAGAATTGTTAAATTACACTAGACAAATAATATCGTTCTGTTTCAGATTAAATGACAGTATCATTCAATTTTTTCGGTCATCTCTTGTGATGCCAGCTTAGTTTTTCACAACCGATGTGTGGTAGTTTGTAGTTTTCTTTTCATAGGCACTTTCAGTTTGAGCTCATATGAACTCTATAGTATTCTCCCTTACCTGAATAATAACTCACGAGCTCACTTGTTAGTCTACAGAAAACCGCAGTTTTATGGTAGTATGGCTGCAACAATTGCTTAGCATTTTGCTCAAAAAAATTCCCCATCAATGAAGAACTATAAGATAAACCACATGAAGTTGAAGCATGGTGCAATCAGGTTAAGTTTTCACTGGAAAAGTTTCGATTGGATGCACTCCTCTAAGAAGTCTGGTCTACGTATTTAAGTAACCTCTCACAAATTAGATCGATACAACTTTCATCTGTGACAAATTTGGCCCTCCAATACTTAGAAGCTACAGATTAGAAGCCTGAAGAAACCTTCAGCAGCAAGATCTAACGAGTGTTGTCCATTGTGTTTATCCCCTCATACACTAGTGCCGACAGACAGACCCATGAAATTTCCTTATTCACAGAATCAAAAAAATAAAATACCGACCACTAAATGGAAGCTGATGACTTCTTCACAGGTGGCTGTATAATTAAATCTGCTGAAATTGTTTTGCAAGTCATGGAACATCTACAACCTTCTCTTCCCCACGTTAATTTATAAAAATGAACAAAGAGGCTATCCTTCGTTTCAAACAATTCAAACTTCGTTTCAAACAATTCAAACTTCCTATCGAAACCAAACATGAAACAGAAATCTTAGTCCTCTATTTGATGGTTGACGAGAGTTACCACTCGTTTAAAGTGCTGAAGAGCAAGGAATCCACGTTAGATTATCTTGTCATCCCTCCTATATCTCTTTCCAAAATGAGAGAGCTGAACTAAAGCATCGCTGTCCTGTTGAAATTGAATTAACTCTCCTACCTCTAGCCTATAGGCCACTTTAAGTTGTGTGCTGTCAGCTTAGTATTTCACATATTTGGATAGTAAGTGGCTCTTCATTTGTGAAGATTGCCAGTACAGGCTCATGTATTCTGTAACTCTCCCGCATGTTCCAACAAGCTCTCTTTAACTCAATGCTTAGTCTCAATCTACCAGAAACCTCAGTTTCATTTAGAAAACCTTATTTAATCTTCCAATACAAACACGGCAACGTTCCAAGAACTGAATGTAATCAAAACATGCTACGAAGGAAAGAAAAAAATCAATAAAACAAACAGAAAATCAACTCAGCAAAATTCATGATACTCCATAGATCTTTTAGCGCTCAAAATTTAAATTTCTCGAACACAATTTGTTCTCACATGAAAAAGATCGCTTCGTTAGCCTACAGATACATTTTTATAGACACTAGGAATACGAACTGAACAAAAAGACAAGAAGAACTCAGTAAGAAGACGACGAACCTGCAATTAGAGACTCCATGGAGGGAGATTCAGAAGAACAACCGGAGACTGGACTTGGAGACGGATTCCGGCTTTGTGGTAGATCGTTCGTAGACGATGCCGCTGCTACGCTTTCCGTTTGACCCATCCTTCTCTCAAGTCCACAACTCAAGTTGGAAACCGTATAAACTCTGAAAAGGCGGACCGAAGAAAAATGGAGCTTTTTAAAAAATAAAAAATAAAAAATAAAAAATAATGACTTTTTTTATATAAAAAGAATAACTTTTTAAAGCAAATAATAAGATCTTTTATTTTTAAAAAAATCTTATTATTACGATGAAAATTTAATGTCTAAAATGAATGAAGTTAAAATGTTTAAATCTTTAGAAAATATATTGTTTAATATATTTTTAAGATTTTTATATTATTTTTAAAAATATTATTATTACATTTATATATAAAAAAAAAATATAAAATTTAAGTATAACCAGTCACCATGTATCCCTAACATTGGTAACATCTACCGCAAATGTTAAATATTGTAACCTTATTTTTGAGTTCGTCTGACCCAACATTTTCGACTTTTTATAAGTTTAACTAACCCAAACCGAATAAAATCTAACCCAATCCAATCTTTATAGTTAAATTGAAACATTTTTTAAATCATAAAATTAAATTGCCAATATAAATATAACACAATACTATAAAATTGGATCTTGCGACCGAGAGATCATAAGTTTAAATTTTTCCACCAGTTTAAAATATTTTGTTTAACTACTTTGCAATTAATAAAAAAAATTATTAAAATTAAAAAATTAATCCAGATAAAGCGTATGAGTCACGACTATATTGATCGTTCAAAATTCTAAAAATCTTATATTTTAATGATAATTTTGAAACATTTATGAAATGTCATGAGTAATTGAATTAATATAAATATTCTTTTAAATTGATAACATTTTTTTTTGACAATGTGAATTTTCAACTTCATGAAAAGAACGAACAATTCAATTATCATTGAGTAAGCTCACTTTAATGTATGATATGTAATGTAATACACAATTATAAATCAATTTAAGCATAGTTTAACCGGTTAAACATTATATATGATCAAAATATTAAATATTTGAATTAAGAAAAAGATATTTATAAAATTTGATTAAATTACGAGTGTCAACTCAAATGACACGTGAACCTAAAACTCGGAACTAACTCAAATTATAAAGATCGGGTTAAAATAATTTTTTTTTAGATTTGAGTTCGGTCGAATTTTTGGAAATAATAAATTGAGTTTTATTTAAAGATCCAGACCTATTTTTATTATTAAAATTAAGAATATTTGTGATGTAAACGGTGAATATTTAATATTTAATATTTGAGTTTTATGATATTTTAATTCAGAATAGAGAATTGAGTTGGATCACTAATCCATCCAAACAAAATTTAAAATTTTAAAACCATAGGATTTACGAAAGAAATAATGCATGTGATCATTCCATGACGAAAATTAGAGCAGATGATTCGAGGAAGAATAATGTGAGAGGCTGAACCGGAGGAACATTGACTACGAACAGGTTCAAATCATCTCTCTCGATCAATCCATTTCTTCAATTTGTAATTGTTCATTCAACAATTTCGAATTAAACTGGACAAATATCCGGTTTCCGCGAGGTAATGGTGAAGAAAGTGAAGGTTACAGGGATCGAGCAAATCATCTCTCGATCAATCCATTTCTTGAATTTGTAATTGCTCATTCAACAATTTCTTAAATTGGACAAATATCTGGTTTCCACGAGATAATGGTGAAGAAAGTGAAAAGTACAGGATTCGAGACCTTGAAAAAGAACCAACCGAACACATTCAGATCCATCTTTCACCGCAAAAAAACGAAGAATGGAGACGATTCTCCTTATTCCATCCCTCAGCTCTCTTCCTTCGCAAATTCTGTTGTCGCTCGTTGTTCCAAGTATTCCTTCATTTTTGTATTGGTCGAATGTTTTCTTTGCTGTTATCTTGTATATTTCTGCACGAGTTTGCATGCATTGTAATGTTAATGCTAAAGACTTTATCTTACAATATCAGCTGCTATTTTTCTTCAAAATTTGATGTGTTTACCATCTATTTTCTGATACTATGACTGTTATTCATGCGTGATGATAAAATGCTACCGTACTGGTGATTTACTTGAGTAAAAGTTGTTCTAACGTGTGATTTGAAGTAGGATGATTAGTTGTTCATCATGTGAAAATGACTGATTCTCGGGAATTTTTCTAGTTACTGCGGAAGAACTCGAATATGACTATTAATAATCAATCGCTGCACTCATGATCCTTGGACAATAATGCGAGTATGTGTGAAGCCCGTCCATTCAAATTAGGCATATCTATCAAACTAATCACTTCCTCTTGTTCTTCTTCATTAACTATTGCATTATTGCACAGTTTACACATTTTTAGCCAGAGGATTTCAATAATTTAAGCGCTTTTAAAGATATGTTGCATGTCATATTGAAGGCATAGTTTGGATTCAGCATTTGTTATGCAATCTCCACAACTCGACATTGACTTCAGCTTTTATGTCATCGTCATTTAATGCATCTAAAGGCAATTCTGTCATGCAGGATTCTTCAAACGTCAATTGAAGAAATGCAACACATTTTTGATTCAGAGCAACCTGAAGCTAATAAGGAACCCGAAACTTATTCTAGAAGTTTGTTGGAATTTTGCTCATACCAAACACTCTATTCAATGAATAGACGTACAGATTATTTAAGTGACAAGGATTTTCGTCGCTTGACATACGACATGATGCTCGCTTGGGAGTGCCCTGGTAGTGAAACCGAACCACTGCCGCAAGTGAGACAGTCTACCATTATTATACTCCATTGATATTTAGTAAGATAGAGTGAGATTATAACTTAAATGCATCTTTCTTTTTTCTCGTGGGGTTGGAGATGGAATGCGGAGGGGCGGAATTTGGGATAATTTTAGGTTTTAGTTTTTTTTTTTTTTTAAAAAAAATCATTTACAAAGATAGTAAAATAAGAGGGAGAGAAGAAATTGATAGTGTTTCTAAATCCTCTTTCCAACTGTAGGAAACTGCTTCTTGCAGTAAATGAGGGAGTAGAGGATAAGGAAGAGTGGTCACTATTTTATTCAAATTCTAAAAACATGGCTGTTCGGGTTCATAACGTTCTTGTTTTCTTATCTGCAACTTGATAGGCACTTATGTTATCTCATGTCTAGGGTGGGTACTTTGAAGATTGTTTTGCTAGCATTGACGGAGATTTTGAGTTACTAGTTTTTAGAACTCTTGTATTATGACGATCAGGTTGATGACAAGAAAACTGTTGGACGAGAAGCTTTTGCACGGATAGCTCCTGCTTGCATTGTGCTTGCCGATCTCATAACTGTTCACAATCTTTTTGACTCTTTAACGAGTTCTTCAAGTCACCGACTCCATTTTCTTGTCTTTGACAAGTATATAAGAAGTCTTGAAAAGTAAGAACTTGCTTCGTTAGTGTGACAATTGTGTGATTTTATACATGTGATCGAAATCGTTTCTCCAACTTATACAGGTTTAGTTAAGAAAGCTTTAAATGTGTGAAATACAGTTTTTGTTCTACATAAAACAGAAAATGAAATCGTTATCAAACATACGCCTTGGATTTTATGATCTTGTATTTTGAAGTTTGTTCTTTTAAGATTAGTTTTTTGTTTCTTTAATGAAAGTTGATTTTAGTCAGTTCTGGATTCATGTTTTTGGTTCAGTAAAGTATTATTTAATCCGCTTTTGCTCTGTTTATGCTTCTGCAGCATTGTTAGAATGATTGTCGTTTAATGTTCGGGTTTTTATATTACATGCGGTTACATTCAAGCTTGTGTGTAGTGTATGATAATTGCACCTTGCAACAGAAATATATTGCAACTATTGTATATTAATTTTATTTTTTTTGTGAATATCAAATGGTCACTGAAGAAGTCTTAAGGTGGGACCTATCTGTTTCTGGATCATGACCTTTTCTGTTCCAGAATTAGTTAGTTTATGGACTAATATCACTCTTAGGAAAGGATTATCATGATATCTGTTTCGCAGGGTTATTAAGGCAACTAAACATGGATTGCACCCATCAACTGGAAGTCTTCATCTTTCCGAAGGAGAAATTGTCCTTGAAGTTGAGGGTACGCTACCCACTCAACCGGTGCTTCAGCATATTGGCATTTCTGCTTGGCCTGGTGAGTCTTGTTTCTACAAATGTAATCCAAGATTAAACAGATTGAACTACCTCCGTTTAAATTTTGAAGATTGAAATTTAAGATCCAAGTTTCCTTCTGTCGATTATAGTTTTTGAGCCATGAATAAAAATCCATGTTTCTTTCCTTTTTTTTTTTTTTTTTTTTTTAAAAAAAAATCAACATTCCTTACTTTGTCGGTCAAAATATAGATTATTCATGTTGGATAGATTATAGTTGTTTATTGACTAAGAAAGGGTAGATAGTTCTCTCTTTGGAGATTTTGTCCCAGATTATGAGCTTTTTTTGGATTATAGATTTTGGAAGTTGTGGTGTAGAAAGTAGTTAATTCTTTTGTGACTAAAGGATTGATGCTTTCAAATTGGAGGAGAAAAGTGATAAGTCTTCCTTTTTCATGAGATTGCTATGGAATCAAGTGCAATGGTTAGAACCATCGTTGTGTATTCATCTCTATTTCCAATAAACTTAAGTTGCAAAAAAAGGTGAATGAGTTCTATTTGAAAGCTTAAATTGTAATTTTTTCAATCGAGTCTTTCGTTGTCTAAGATGAATGGTTGGCTTGCATTTGAATAATAATATAAAAAAAAACCACCTTTTCTGATAAAGGAATAAGAAGTGCATTCTGATTCTCGTAACTGTAAAGAAGAGAGGTTGGTTTGTCTTTTTAGGAAATGGTTAGATAGTTCCAATAAAGCTCTTCACACTAGAACTACCAAGGAGTCACAATAAAGCTCTTAAGTTGCAAAAGATGTATGAAGACCAAGGAGTCACAATTAAGCTCTTCAACTGGCCAGAAACTTTAAATTCCCCAGAACTCACACTAGAACTACTCTAATCTACTCAAAGTTGGCCTAAAAACACCAGAAAATCAGCAACAAGAGCCATCACACATATGTAACTTCATTGACATAGATCCATTCTTGTCCCATTGACATAGTGAAATCCCCCGGGGGAACC